TGTCCTAAATAGGAAGTTAATGTTATTAGTATTCTCTTCTTAAATGCATGCCTAAAGCTTTTCAATAGTACAGATTATCCTGGTAAAATTCACTGTTCTAAGCCTACCTCCTCCCTTCCAAATGACAGCAGAGGTTACCATGAGAGGTGACTGGCCATTGTGAAGGTTAAATGATATAATGGGCACAAAAGCCTCTAATCAAATTTATGCACACATAGGGACTACTGTTAAGGACTTTCTACTGTTTCATGCTCAAGATTTAATTAAGAACTTTTGAGATGGTATCATCTTGTTGAGCTTCTCTTCTTTGGAGCATAAATTCCTAAGGACAGTGATAACGACACTGATTTATTCTGTGTAATATTAGTATAGTTCAAAGGGAACATTTGGTCCCCTAATACTAGCTGAATATAGAAATATTAATATTTAACATTTACAGAGTGCTTATCATGTGTCAGACACTGTGCTAAGTGCTTTACATATATCACATTTTATGTTTATTAGAATTATATGAAGTAAATACAATTATCATCTTCAAATTCTAGATGAGAAAAACTCAGAGGTTAAGAAACTCGCCCATGGGGCGCCTGGGTGGCTCAGATGGTTAAGCATCTGCCTTCGGCTCAGGTCATGATCCCAGGGTCCTGGGATCGAGTCCCGCATCGGGCTCCTTGCTCAGCAGGGAGTCTGCTTCTCCCTCTCCCTCTGCCTCTACCCCTGCTTATTCTCTGTCTCTCTCGCAAATGAATAAATAAAATCTTTAAAAAAAAAAAAAAAAGAAAGAAACTCGCCCATGGTCACAGACACAGACAGGGGAAAGGCTAAGGTGCAGGAGTGTCTGACTCTATTGTCTTGATCTTGACCACAATACTTTACTAACAGTGTTGAGATTAACTAAATACACAAAAAGTAACATACAGATCCTATGCATATATATATATATATATACAGAAGATTGCTACTATAACTAAATATAACAAGATTTTGTAGTAAAAAGTAGAAGGGTAGAGTTTGTTTTGAAGGTGAATGCCCCTGAATACCACCCAACATCCTGAACGGTTTAAGCAGAGATATGAAAAAGGAGTGGTAAAGTCAGATCGATATTTTAAAGAGATACTGCCTGGTGGAGAATGAACATGAAGGGGGGCAAAACTGGACATCCCAGGGACATGAGAGATCCTAAGGCAGTGAGAGCAGGAAAAGGAGAGGAAGGGAAAAATTCAACAACCACATCAGGTAAAAATCAGAGAACCTTGATAAATGATTATACACAAAAGATGAGTAACTCAAGTCCATCAACAGTGACTTCAGGATTTTAGCTTATGTAAAGCCAGTGCCATTAACTGAGATAAAGAACAGGTTTAGGTCAATGAGATACCACCTCACACCCAGTCAGAATGGCTAAAATTAACAAGTCAGGAAACGACAGATGTTGGCGGGGATGCGGAGAAAGGGGAACCCTCCTACACTGCTGGTGGGAATGCAAGCTGCTGCAGCCACTCTGGAAAACAATATGGAGGTTCTTCAAAAAGTTGAAAATAGAGCTACCATACGACCCAGCAATTGCACTACTGGGTATTTACCACAAAGATACAAATGTAGGGTTCCAAAGGGGTATGTGCACCCCGATGTTTATAGCAGCAATGTCCACAATAGCCAAACTGTGGAAAGAGCCAAGATGTTCATCAACAGATGAATGGATAAAGAAGATGTGGTATATATACACAATGGAATATTATGCAGCCATCAAAAGGAACAAAATCTTGCCATTTGCAAAGACGTGGATGGAACTGGAGGGTGTTATGCTAAGCAAAATAAGTCAATCATTAGAATGAGAAAGACATGTATCATATGACCTCACTGATATGAGGAATTCTTAATCTCAGGAAACAAACTGAGGGTTGCTAGAGTGGTGGGTGGTGGGAGGGATGCGGTGACTGGGTGATAGACATTGGGGAGGGTATGTGCTATGGTGAGTGCTGTGAATTGTGCAAGACTGTTGAATCACAGATCTGTACCTCTGAAACAAATAATATATTATATGTTAAAAGAAGAAGGAGGAAGAAGAAAGAAGAAAGAAGAAAGAAGAAAGAAGAAAGAAGAAAGAAAGAAGAAGAAGAAGAAGAAGAAGAAGAAGAAGAAAGCAGGAGGGGAAGAATGAAGGGGGGGAAACTGGAGGGGGAGATGAACCATGGAGAGACAATGGACTCTAAAAAAGAAACTGAGGGTTCTAGAGGGGAGGGGGTTGGGGGAATGGGTTAGCCTGGTGATAGGTATTAAAGAGGGCATGTTCTGCATGGAGCACTGGGTGTTATACGCAAATAATGAATCATGGTACACTACATCAAAAACTAATGATGTAATGTATAGTGATTAACATAACACACACACACACACACACACACATGAACAGGTTTAGGGAACTAGGTGATTAGTTCTATAGTGGACATATTAAATCAGAGCTGGCTTTGGGATTTCCAAATGGAGATATTTGGCAGGCAAGAGGAAATGGAAGACAGAAACTCAGAAGAGAAGTTGAGTATGGAGATAAAAATTTGGAAGTCATCTACCACCAGGGTAGATGAAATCAACCGTGAAGAATGTGTTGAATGATAACAGAATTACAACATGACCCAAATACAAGAGAACTGTCTTTGGTGATGGAATTGTTCTATATTTTGACTTTGGTAGTGATTACATGACTTTATGTGTCTGTCAAAATTCAAAGAAATGAGGGGCACCTGGGTGGCTCAGTTGTTTAAGCAACTGCCTTCGGCTCAGGTCATGATCTCAGGGTCCTGGGAACAAGCCCCGCATCGGGCTCCCTGCTCAGCGGGAAGCCTGCTTCTCCCTTTCCCACTCCCCCTGCTCGTGTTCCCTCTCTTGCTGTCTCTAAGTCAAATAAATAAAATCTTAAAAAAAAAAATAATTCACAGAAATGAATGCTAAAGGGAGTGAATATAACTGCAAAGAAATTATATGCACTAAATCTTACTAAAGAAAAAAAAGGAGAGAACAATGAGCAGTGTTACATTTGGTGAAAAGACTGTAAGATAGCATGCTGGGAGCAGAAAGCAGATGATGTTAGTTGAGAGTGAACAGAGAAGTAGCAGAAATGATCGACTATTCTTGGGAAGCCTGGATGAGACAAGGAAGAGAGTTTCAATGACAGCTAAGTGGATGTGTAGGATTGAGGGTGTGTTTTCACTATGAGATAGACTTCAGCAGATTTACAGTGACAAAGAAATCTATGGGAAGGCAGTGAATATATAAGGAGACTGTAAGGGACAACTAAGAGACTCTGATGAAAGTCTGGATGAAAGGGCGCCTAGGTGTCTCAGTCATTAAGTGTCTGCCTTCGGCTCAGGTTATGATCCCAGAGTCCTGGGACTGAGCCCCGCATCGGGCTCCCTACTCTGCAGAGAGCCTGCTTCTCCCTCTCCCACTCTCCCTGCTTGTGTTCCCTGTCTGTCAAATAAATAAATTCTTTTTAAAAAAAGAAAGTTTGGATGGGGTCAGGTTGGTAGCTCCAGCAGAAGGTTAAAAAAGGCATACTTAATGCACTCAATAGTCTACACAAAGACACAAGGTCATCTGCTGAGGGTTAGGAGGGTTGGGCTGAGTATAGGATTTTATAAAAGGCAAGTCATATAGGAATGACTGCGCAGAGAGCATGAACTGGTAGTTATATCTACATTCACAGTGGCAGGTATTATCCAGTAGTACTCTGCCTACTGGAATTTAGGAATAGAGAAGATGGGGTACAGCTAACTAATGTTTCTCAAAAGGAAAAGGTGGTAGGAAAACCATAGATTTTCATAAGAGGATAGCTCAGATAATCATTCTCTTCCACCTCTACTTAAATCTCATACTCCTTGAAGACTACAACTCTGATTATGTTATTTAAACACTAAAACTTGCTGCCTTTGCAACATTCCTTTCCCTATGTGGTTATTTTTATACCACTTAAAACATTCTAACATACGGGGCACCAGGCCGGCTCAGCTGGTGTAGTATGCGACTCTTGATCTCGGGATTGTGGGTTCTGGTCCCACGTTGGGTGTAGAGATTACTTAAAAATAAAATCTTAAAAAAACAAAAAAGGGGCACCTGGGTGGCTCAGTCGTTAAGCGTCTGCCTTCGGCTCAGGTCATGATCCCAGGGTCCTGGGATCGAGCCCCACATCAGGCTCCCTGCTCAGCAGGAAGCCTGCTTCTCCCTTTCCCACTCCCCCTGCTTGTGTTCCCTCTCTCTCTTGCTGTGTCTCTCTCTGTCAAATAAATAAATAAAATCTTAAAAAAAAAAAAAACAAACAAAAAACTTTCTAACATACTACAAGGGCAGAGATCTTTTGGATTCTTCAATTCTTGGAAACCTTGAGTGCCCAGAACAACTGACTTATAGTAGGCCCTCATTAACTTTTTGTATGGTTGAAACAGGTGGGCTTCCACATCTCCCTCTGAACATGGGTCACCAGCCCCTAACCCCAAAAATATTCAAAGAACTTTATAGCTATATGGAAAGCATGTTAGAAAAAATAATAGAGGGATGCCTGGATGGCTCAGTTGGTTAAGCAGCTGCCTTCGGCTCAGGTCATGATCCCAGGGTCCTGGGATCAAGTCCTGCATCGGGCTCCCTGCTCAGCAGGGAGCCTGTTTCTCCCTCTGCCTGCCATTCCTCCTGCTTGTGCTCTCTCTCTGACAAATAAATAAAATCTTTAAAGAAAAAGAAAAAACAGAAATGTGAGGTAAAGAAAGGCTTGAGTTGTGATTCTTCCTATGACTCTGAGAAACCCAATTTGCCACTGCATGGCTTATTTTTTATATCAGCAAAATAGGAACAATGCTATACTAGGAATAATTGCTTAAATCATAAGATTAATGCCTGAGAAAAGGCTCTGTAAAAATTTAAAAAGTAACACTTTATTATGATTGCAACAAAATTAGCAAGTACTAATAATATAGCAATAGTAAATAGAGAAAAGATATAATGTTGAAGAAAATGTATTTGGGACTCTTTTTTGCACTTGTAAGGAAAATTTTCTTGTCAAAAGTATTAGAAACCATTCTCAAGACTACTGTGTGCAAGGTGGAGATCAGCACTGGAAGAAGAAAACACTTTTAGAAAGACTAGGTTTTCCTGGAGAGAGCTCTTTCTTCTGCCTGACAGAGAATAGCAATTCCCAAGCTGTCTGGATTACTCTGTCTGGAAGGAGGTAAGCACAATGGTTTCTTTTGAAAGTAAATTAGTAAGTCTGGGGAAAAGTCGGCTGAATTCTGAACAAAGAATCCATGTCTATTCATGGAGATATGTATGACTAAGGTTATTAATATCCAACGAATGAAACTTTTGAGACTCATGTTGCAAAGAAATGAACTGCTATAAATAGCAGGAAAATGTATATCATATGAAGATGAGGGATTTTACAAGGGGCTTGCCAGAAGGCTTGGCACTTCAGTCTGTTAGTACGTTACACCATTAGGTGTCTGGGTTCATTCTGCAGAATAAAAAGAACTTGAGGGGCACCTGGGTGGCTCAGTCAGTTAAATGTCTGCCTTCAGCTCAGATCATGATCCCGGAGTCCCAGGATGGAGCCCCGCATTGGGCACCCTGCTCAGTGGGGAGTCCGTATCTCCCTCTGACCCCCCACCACTGGCTCACACTCTTGCTTGCTCTCTCCCGAATGAATGAATGAGTGAATGAATAAACAAATAAATAAAAGAACTTGACCCAACTCCAGTATTTTCCAGAGAATGCTTTAGATTTCACTGTGAAGAGAAACAAGAAAGTAGGAATCACAGCAGAAATGTACTTTCCAAGGCAGCTTTGTTTCAAGTATTTTTATAAATAAGGTGAGGAAAGTCAATCATTTTAATTTATTTATCCCTAAGGATCACTCAACTCAAGCCTCTGAAAAAGGGAGCCAAAAGCCCTTGTTTTAAAAACTGCTCTACTGATTTTAGATTTCCTGGAACCAGGAACATGTAAGAAGTCCTGCACTTAAGGCTTCAGAACATATTTTCTCTAGGGGCGTCTGGGTGGCTCAGTTGGTTAAGCTTCTGCCTTCAGGTCAGGTCAGAGCGCTGCATGGCGGGGGGCAGGGGGGGGTCCCTGCTCGGCGGGGAGTCTGCTTCTCTCTCTCCTTCTGCACCTCCCCCACCGCTTGTGCTTTCTTCTCTCTCTCAAATGAATAAATAAAATCTTTAATTAAAAAAAAAGAACGTATTTTCTCTAGAGGAATGTGAGAAATTAAATTGTAAGGGTGTAGATTAAGGGAGGGATTAGGCTTGTGGAACATCAAATCACAGGTGATCTGTTGTTACCCGCAGAAACTAAATATTCCAGGGATGTTTCAAATATTTCTTAGAAGGTGTAAGTTAAGCAAAGGCAAGAATAAATTTCAGATTTCTAATTCCTGCTGCTGACCTTCAGATCATGGTTTTACACATGAGACTCAGGTTAGTCTACCCAAACTGAAAGGCTTTTATTTCTCTGCATTTATGCTTATGTTTTATTTCTTTGAAGGTACTGTGAATATTCTCACAGGTGAAAATAAATCAAGGATTATTATTAAAACATACTTTCCTAAGCTAAACTATGCTCCTTTTATACTGAAGTGAATCAAAACCAAAAGAGAGAACAGCAATGTTACTGGCTGTATGGATCAGTATTTTATTAACACCCTCAAAACATACAAACGTACCTCCATTTGAGAAGTAAATCTTTCATCTTGCAACCTACAGAATCTGGGAACCATCCTTCAACCTTAGCTGAGCTTCCAAGAATATAAGGGAAACTCCTGGAAGCCACATACACAAGGTGAGTTGTTGCCACTACTGTAGTCACTACACTACCGGGAACATGGGATGCTATGCCAGTCTCTAAAAGCAAGGAGCTTACATTTTAATATCAATGTGGGAGAAAAAGATCTTGGATCCCAGCGAAGTGAGGATGTGGAATTGAGGTTCTCACAAAAAGCCCTGAGACTCCAAACAGAGTGACAGCCTCAGTGAAAAGGTAGCTAAAACAATAAAAGAGAACAAAATAAACCAGTGAACCAACACAGAGTAAAGACAAGGAAGGACACTTGGTTTCACCTAGGTGGAAAGGGACTGTTGTCATCCTGAAAAATAGTATCCACAGGGAATGCCTTCACAGCTGTTTGGAATATGAAAGGAGATTTAGGACATTAAACTCAGATTGAGGTTTAGCTAATGTTTTCCTCAAGACGTGGTAAATAAAGCAAACACACCTGCTTTGGGATGACCTGCCCATAGTGTACATCCAGGAAAGTTTTGCTGAAGAGGAATTCATAAAACAAATTTATAAGATATACGAAGAAACAATGCACTATGAGCAAGAGCCAGAAGACACAGTAAGTTGAAAGATTAGAAATGTCCCTCTGCCAAAGGAATTTCAAATAATACTTTTATAATCAAATAGAGATAATAAAAAAACTAAACTCATTATTTTCAAAAGGGAAAAGTTCATGTCACACGGCATGCACATTACATAGTACACACATTCAGGGAATTATATAAAAATGAACTGCTGGATGATGAGTGGGGAATGTTTTTCCACAAGTTCTGAAACTCTCTTTTATTACACCACAAGTACACAAAAACCATAATAAAAACCCTAAGACTTCAAGAAATACCCAATACAGATTTCTGCACATTTAATTCCTGAACCAATCGTATGAACTAAGTAAAAGTCTGGCCAATCTCTGAGGTTTTTCAGAGAAAAACCTGAACATAAACTGAACATAAACACAATTCTCATTTCACAGGGCTTGCTCTTCAACACCTAAGCATCCAGAATTGCTGCATTTTGTTCCAGTCAGAAATATGATCTAGAATAGTTGCAAGACAGAAGAAAAGGGACTATATGCCTAATGTCTGAAGTTACAGCTTTAAACAAGTATCTCTATACCAACTCCTAAGTATTCTTATGCATCACACCTGTCAAAAGCAAATGTGTTCTGAAGCGAGCTTTAAAGTGCTTTATCCTCAGGCAGACGCAGTGAGACCTAGTCTCAAAAGTCAACAACAGGGATGCCTGGGTGGCTCGGTCTGGTTGAACGTCAGACTCTTGGTTTTGGCTAGGGTCATGGTCTCAGGGTCCTGGGATGGAGCCTGATGGGGCTCTGCACACAGTGCAGATTCTGCTTGTCCCTCTCCCTCCCACTCTGCTCCTCTCTCCCTGCTCTTGCTCTTTCTCAAATTAATAATTTTTTTTAAAAAGTCAACAACAAAAAACTGATATCCAAACCAAACTGTTATGATTTAATAATCTCTTAAAATAAACAAGGTACTAAATGACTAAGTGCAAATAAGATTGTAGTCACTGAGAACAGGACAACTTCAAATGGATATATCTTCAAGAGTGATGATAATTTAAGTTTTTAATAACTTTTGTGGCAATAACAAAAAACATTTGTATAGAAATGAGAGGGCCAGGAATGTTTTTGGTAGCTTTATAGTTTAAAAAATGTTATTTACGGGGCACCTGGGTGGCTCAGTCGTTAAGCATCTGCCTTCGGCTCAGGTCATGATCCTGGGGTCCTGGGATTGAGCCCCACATCAGGCTCCCTGCTCAGCGGAGAGCCTGCTTCTCCCTCTCCCACTCCCCCTGCTTGTGTTCCCTCTCTCACTGTGTCTCTCTCTGTCAAATAAATAAATAAAATCTTTAAAAAGAAAATGCTATTTACATGGGTTCTTCAGGTTCATTTACTTTGAATTCTGAAGAGCGAGTGTAAGAAATCAAGGGCTATCACAGAACTTCTAGTTCATTATATATAATACATTTATAGGTTAAAAAAAATCATAAAACTAGAAAAATGCCAGGACGCTTTACTTCCTGATATTACAACCTCTACCCCCACCCCTAAATCATGCAAAAGAGAGTTTGTTCTTTTCTAGCTATCCTCTGGTTACTGCTGAAGTATCTACATTCCTTCACTAAGCTGCTAGGGACTTATATTACTAATTCCCAGAGTACTGGCATTTCAAAAAAAAAAAAGGAACCATGGTATGAAAATTACTTGCCCTAAAATCTGTTTGTCCATCTATCCCTGGGCACCGTCTTGCAAATATCAGGCCACCTAACTGACATACTGCTTAAAAAATCAATGTCAGGAATGAGTGGAAGTATGAGTTTGGTATGGGCTCATTCTTTGCTTATTTCAGGATGCAGGAATGGTTTGTATCTATGACTTGTATTACCTATGATTATTTTGTTTTTCTTTCTGTCTTTTGTTTTTTTAAACATTTGTCTTCAATAGCTTCTCCTAATTTTGGAACTACCACATCACTAGCTGTTGGATGACAATTCACAGGTGAGTTATGTGAAGGGAGACAATGAAGGGTCAAACAAACTCCTGTTCTCCAACAAAGGAGTGTTCCTTGGGGGGCTTTCACCTGTAACTACATCCAAACTGTTTTTTCAAAAAGCCCCAGGTCATCACCCCACCAAGAAAGAAGGTTCCTAAAATAGTAATGACATCGTGAATTCCGATGTGATGGAGGCCAGTCTCTTGAGGAAACAGATGATTTACAAACTTTATGATAAATTACTCCCTGTCCCCACCACCTTGCACTGTTGCACCATGTTGAACTAGATGTTCTACTGTTCTAAGGAATCAGACAACCCCCCTAAGAAATTCAGGAGAAAACTGCCTCAAGAACTGAGCTATGTAGGAAAGCTAGATCTTAAAACTAGGGATCAGGTTTTTGATTTAAGTTTTCCTATGGATTAGATAGCTGAAAAAAGACAATAAACACCGAGGATGCTGATGACTAAAACCTCCCCACCCAGTGCATTTCTAGAACAACTGCTGGGGGAGCATGCAATTTTCTAATTGTATAATTTAACTTGAGGGGTATAGACAGAGCAAATTATACTGCATGGGGCACTACTGCACCAGATAGGCTATGCTGACTTATTCTTATGGGCCATATTCTTATGGGCTAATGACTCTAGTTGATAAGCCTCAGATAATTTTTGATTAAAATTATAAAAATTCAGGTGCACGTGGGTGGCTCAGTTAAGCGTCCGACTCTTATTTCTGCTCAGGTCATGATCTCAGGGTCAGGAGATCAAGTCCCTGAGTGGGCTCTATGCTGGGCGTGAAGCCTGCTTAAGGTTCTCTCTCTACCTCTCCCTCTGTCCCTCCCCCACACACCCCAGCTCACTTGCACTCCCTCCCCCCACTTTTCCTCTCTAAAAAAAAGGGACAGCACCTGGGTGGCTCAGTTGGTTAAGCATCTGCTTTCGGCTCAGGTCATGATCTCAGGGTCCTGGGATTGAGCCCCATGTTGGGCTCCCTGCTTGGGGGGGGGAATGGGGGCAGGGAGTCTACTTCTCCCCCTCCCTCTGCCCCACCCCCCAGCTCATGCACACTCTCTCTCTTGCGTGCTCTAATAAAATCTTCAGAAAGAATTATAAAAATCCAATATTCCTAAGATCCTAGGTGATGCTACATTAAATAAATAATTTTGAACTGGGAAGAATATAATACTTTGACAATAATAATGATAAAATTAGTATTCCAGGAAAAAACGAAACCTCTAAAGGAAAAAATGAAGAGCATTAAATTTCTCTTTGAATCAGAGAGGGCATTTTCATTTTTCAGAACTAGTTATAAACTTCAACATTGTGATTGCTATTCTTCTAAATCCCAGATTAAAGAAGAGATGAATTCCTTTATGTTTAGGATTGACTGGGTTCTAAAATTTGGAGAAGACAGGATTAAGGACTATAGGGTATGCTTGTTTTAATTGGTTTCCAGCCCCAAAGCTACTAAATTAACCACTGAGGAACTGATTCATATGAACAAGGCAAAAAAAAAAAAGAAAAGAAAAACAAAAAACACATGTACAGTGACATATACCTTGGAGGCATTTTGTATATTTGAAATTTCATTTGCATTTTTAGACAATGGAGTAACTCTTTTGCAGGCTGCACTAAAACATAAACACACCATTGAAGAAATCAGACTACGAATGTCAGCATTCATTTGATGTTTCTGGAAGTCAAGGAAAGTAGCCAATTAAAAAATAACTCAAACACTGCTTCTTTTTCATGTTCAGCAAGCATAAAATAATTAATGGCACAACAGCTTACCTGGGCCGGGGCTCTTTCTTGAACTTAGGTTCTGGGCATCCACAATCTCTTCTGTTTGCCCGCCTGCTTCTACCTCTATTTTGTTCTGAATCTCTTTTGCATCTTCACTAAGGCAAGTTCTTATGCTCTCATCCTCTTCTAAGACCCTCTGGACTGTGGTGGGAACACCAGCAGTACTAACATTAGTGGCAGCAGCAGGAACAATGGCTGGTGTGGGAGGAGGAGGAGCTGGAGGAGTTGGAGGAGATGGAGAAAAGGAAGGAACTGTGGAAGGGGTAAGGGGAACTGGGACACATTCCACTTTCATTTCTTCTGGGGCATTTTCCAGAATCTCCAATTCAAGAGTCAATGGCAACACCTCCTGTTTTACTATTTCCACAATGCTCTCTGTGGCTGGTAATGTTTCACTAACTCCATTCATTTCATTAATTAGATTAGTACTAGAAATCAGTGGAATATCATTAGGTGCTACACTACAAGATTTCTTGCATATATCATCATCAATTACATCTGTTGGTGATGGATCTGATGTCTCTGTGCAAGATACAGGGCTGGGTACAGGAATTGTGTCTTCTTTTGAGGAAGAGAGTTCACACCTGTCATCTACAGCAGTGGTGAATATTGGCTGGCTACTAAGAGCAGCAGAAGTGGGGGAAGCAATTGTACTTCGAGCAAGCGGAGAAACAGTGGTAGGTGATGGAGGCAGAGGAAGCTCTGGCATGGATTCTACTGCAGTCGTCTCTGATGTCTGGCCTGCTTGTTCTTTCTTCTCTCCACTAAAGACTAGCCTAAGGACTGGGGAAGGAGACTTTAACACTGGATCGGGTTTTGGCTTCTCTTCTGGGGAAGAAAAAACAAAAGAGTTTAAGAATAATTCTTGGATCAGAGATTATATTGTATTATTTTGGGCTAGTTCTTTTAATCTCTTACCCAAAATAATGGGCAACAAAAGACAGACCAAATAATTAGACTTACTCTGCCACTCCAAAAAACCCTGTCATATTTTCTAGTTATACTTAGTGTTACTTGGTTACCAATAAACATAAAGTTAATTTTGGAGTAAAAGAAGGAATCAAATATTAACCATATAATTATATCAAGAATACAACAGAAAAGTTCATCAAAACTGAAGCTAAACCATCCAGAATTGGGAATGGGGCTTTTATTTTTCTAAGTAAAGACCTTCATTTCTACTGCATCTTGCTCCCTATAGAAGATTTTTCTACCAAAGATACACTATAGTGTCAGAACAGCTCAAGAACAAATAAGTACAGATTAAATTATTATAGACTGGTATTTTTACTTTATACATTTCTGCATTTAGGAGAATTTCGGTAAAGAATGTGTATTACTTGTATAAAAAACTATGTTTTAAGAGAAGCTATCATGGTGTCATTTATTATCAGTGCAATTTATTATCTGTGAAATCAGGTCCCTGAATATAAAAATTCATTTACAAATTAAACTTTCATTTTTCAAAAGAGGCAGCATGTATATAATCAGAAATGTGAAAATATAAAAATGTAAATTTATCTTGTAAAAAAATATTCTTCAAGGAGAAACCAAAGTTAATCAAGTCCAATTAAAAAAAGAACATAATACATACATCTGAAATACCTGAGAATATATAAAATGTGTATCTGTGTATAGATGAAAAAGAATGAGAGCAAGAGAGAAACTGATGATCACAATAAAGGTATACCAGAAACATGTAAGAGACTGTAATTCATGAAAATTTCCATATTCTAAAATTCTAGGTAACTGATATGTGATTCATTCCAGGGTGGATGAAGCCAAAGGAGAGTGACTGGTTTCCAGCCTGATACTTCTGTAGCATGATAAACAGGCTCCACTGGAAAAAGATACTCATGAGTGTGTTCATCAAATAACAAAAATTTTAAGCACTACTAAAAGACAGTTTAAACTGAAAGGGACTTTACTTTCTCTGCCAGAAATCTCTATACATCAGTGAAAATGAGTCTTTACAATAAATTATTGTACTTAAGTTTGTCATAGAAAATATGCTCTGTTAATCAGAGAAACAGATGGTTAAATATTACCATTAATTTGTTGAAGAATAACTCATCCTTTAATATCATTTATCATTCATCATTCATTAACTACTTTTGCTGGCCTTAAAATTCATTCTAATTTATGGGTGCAGAGACCAGTACAGTACCTATTTATTGTACAGGAGAAATAGGATCATTAGGCTCTCACTGTCAAATCCCTCAGTCTATGTTGTCAGGGCAAAAGACAAAAATATTTCAAAGAAATCTATTATATGTATTATATATATGTAAGAAATATATAATAAATACACATTTATTAAAATATTGCTCATGAAAATAATTTTCAACTCACTGGAGTAACTGCTACAAAGGTCACCCAGATTACATGAAAGCACTGTGAAAGCACATCAGAGTAACACCCTTTATAAACACTGAATGAAACCTAGAAGCAGTAAATAGTAAAAAGTAATTCTCACATTAATAATCTAATAAGTATGTCAATTCTATTATTAATTTTGAAAAATAAAATTTCTGATACCAAAAACAAAAAAAGCAGACCTAGGACTGAAATTTCTATATACTCTTGAGAAAAATCTAACATGAAGAAAATTAGAAACAAAAAAACCTTATTTTGAGAGGTCCTCATTCTGAAATAAAACTCCTTTAAATTCATTCAAGTTTTAATACAGAAAGCTGAAAGTATACTACAGTAAACCTAAATAAAGAACACTGACTTTATCTAAGAACTTTTACTATTAAGAATATATTGTGCAAAGCCATGATAGTCTGAAATCTAATATACTGCATTACAAATACTTCTACCATTTGTAGAAGTAGGAAATTGTGGGAATTCCATAATAATCATGCAAGAGGGAGCAAAGATAGAGGTCTGGAAGATTTAAGGCTATTTATATTAACTGCATAATACCAAAATAAGAGAAATAGACGAAATGATCTAACATGAAGGATTTATTAAAGAATTAACAGTGTGGGCCATATAATGGTATATTATGCAAACACTTAAAATAGGCTTTTAAAACAGTAATGATATAGAAAGTATTTTTATAATAAAAGATGTTTTTTAAAAAGGGCACAAGACTGTATGGAGAACATAAACCTAATTTGGTAACTTAAAAAAATATATGCTACTAACACATGCATATGGGAAAGTGTGGAGTTAAGCTTACTAACAATAGCTCTAGATAATGAGAAAGAGATATTTTCTCTTTCTACTTATCCATAGTTTATACAATGAATGCCAGATTTATAAGGAAAAAAATTGCTCCCTTTATTCTCAGATGGCAGTGAACCAACTGCCTAGATGGGTACCTTTGGTTGCCAAGAGTCTCATGTAACTGAGAAGGTGATACCATCACTTAATGGGCAGAGACCAGGAACGGTTAGCATCCTGCAACTTGAGGGACAACCTCACTTGACAGAGAACAGTCCTGTCCTAAGTTCCAGGGGAGCCCCAAATGAACAACATTGCTATAAATCACTGAATTACAACAGAATATCATTCACTGAATATCTACTCTATACTAAGTGCTTTCAGAAGGCACTAAGGCTAAGACTAAGGAACAAGTAACTTTTATTTGCATTTCATTGTCCATGCCATATCCTCCACACACTGGGCTGAATGTACCTACTCAAACAATGGCAAACAACAATCAAGCTGTGTCTAGACATCATCAACGCCAATTGATGATTTTAATTTATTCAACATTCAATGGCTTTCTCTCTACAAACGAAGCTGAAGGTCTTCCCTGTGTCTCTGTACCTTTATAAAATACCAAGTAATTGGAAATGTCATATTTGTCTGGCAATTTGGTGTTCATGTAACCATTTCAGCTTTTCATATCACAAACTCTGAGAAAACCAGAAGTTTATTAATAGTAGCTAACATTTATTAAGTACTTCTTATATGGTAGGACTGGGCCAAACACAAAACATACATAGTGTCCTTTAATTCTTACAACCACTGCTGGGGTAGAAACTATTATGTTCCTGTTTTACAGATGGGGAAACTGGGTGTTTTACAGATTAAGTCATAGGTCTAACAACTGGTCAGCTGAAACCTGAAAATGATTCAAAATCCCACATGTTTTCAGTCCAGGGGAAAAAAACAAAGGTGTATGGAAAAAGAAGTACGTAGGTGAAGCAAACTGGTAGGAGACTTTGGGGCTAACATGTGATTCAAAGCAAATCCACAGTAATGACATTTCCACTGAGAGAAAAACCAATCTGACTGCAGAATGCAGAGTCTATTATTTCTGAAGGTAATCCAGCAATCTTTGAAAACAGTACATTTTCCTATCTTTAATTTCAAAAGGAATCTAGAATTAAGAAGAAAATGTTTAAATTTAACTGTAAAAAATTTTTTTCTGAAAATTGCTGAGTCCTTTCTAATGTTATTTGAATTACATACATTTGGTTTAAAAATTACTCTGAAAACTATTCTGTATGTTGGCAAACTATGGGTACAATTAGAAACAGAATTAACTGAGTTTTCTGGAAAATAATTGGTACTAAGAAGGAAAGGGCAGTAGTCTCCCAGAGTTATTTATAAGCACTACAAAATATACTTAAAATTCAGATTTTTCTTTCCATCAAGGTAACCTAAAACATTTCAATGCACTCATATCTATATTGAACATCAATCTGGAATGTTTATTATTCAAATTTCAACTAATCTTAAAAAAACGAGAGGAAACCAAGGGTTCTGCATTCTTCCTTATGGAAATCAAGGCCTAAATATGACAAAATGAAGGTGTTTCATAATCTAAAATTTGTAGCAGGGCGGAGCTATCATTATTAAGACATCTTATGAATTCTTTATATAGTGGCCCAGCTGAAGTTTGCATAGACC